TCTATGATTCTAAGTCAAAAGAGAAACCTAATAAAAATGTCAAAATAAGACATTCTTTTGGACTACTCATCAAATCTTCAGATTTACGAATTAAGAACTTTCAAGCATAATTCAGATTAAGTACTACCATTGAAGTTTTCAAAGAAGTCATATATAAATTAGAAATAGGTAAGAATTTATTTAAATGACCAAAGTTAATCTGTAAGTTAATTTTAAAATATCTCTATAAATCAGATTGATTGAAGGTTTTTCTTCTCTGGGTTCTGATAGAAAAGTGTACACCAATCTCTATGTCAAAAGGATAAGGAAGGAAAGCATTAAAAATCTGAGTTTGTGCCTCTTCTCGTAGTGTGCTCAGAGCTCACAAGAAACAGTCCATTTCTGTCATCACTTTAAAGAAAATGTTTTAATCTTTTCAGGTCGTATCTGTTTTCAAAGAAGGCCCCACTGACAAGATTTGCCACAGCATCTTGAAAACTGCACAAGTGGAGTAACCTGTCATAACCTGAAGCAGAAGTGACTATTTTCAAAGCTGTGTTATCTCCCGATATGACCTTGTTTGCTTTTGCCTTGTTAACAAAGTACATTACTATACTACATCAACATAGGAATTTTGGAAAATTTTGGATAAAAAGGCCACTTTTCATGCTAGACAGATGGCTTTCAAGTCTAAAACGTTTTTACGTAAACAGAACATGATGCCTTTGTAAATGAGTCTATTTAACAGTGAAATCTGAATGGACAATCATATAAAGAACTGACAATTTCATGCAGCATGTTTCAATGTTGATAATGTTTTATGGGTAGCCATTTGCAGTGCCAGACTTGGTAGGAGAAGAGGGGAGCAGCAGACACGTAAGGGCTGGAGTATGAACCGTATACTAAACTTAGACCAAGGGACAAAGCAATTTCAGGACATATATTGTATCACAATTCAATCTAGCAATTATAATCCACTACACAAGTGGCTTTCTCTATGTGACTACAGATAAATCAGAAATACCAACAGGCATCAGATAAATGCAGCAAAGTTGTAACTAACTATGTCAGAAAAGAAACACTTGACACTGCAGCTGATCAGCCTTTCAGGGGATTGGTAAACAACCTACTAGCTTAAACAGAACAGTGAAATTCTAGAACTGTGCAAAATCTGCTACTTAGTTTATAAAAGAGCAACTAGCTGTGCCATTCCATGCAGTAAAGATCTTGGCAATCCAATCGCTGCTGTAGTGACAGTTTGACACAATTACCAACATCTCTTTGTTGATTTGTCTGACAAGAAGTCGTCATACTAAAAGGAACACATAAATTCCAACATGCAATGAATAATAGCAAGATTCATACTTTTTTCCAGTATATTTTTCTTCACAAGGTAGTAAAATTCAAGTAATAAAGCATAACAGACGCTACAGCTTCACTGAAATGTTTTTTGTCCGGGCACATGACTGAAATAAATAAATAAATTTTAAAAAATCAGAACTTACCTTGTGTCACTGTTCTAAGCACAATTAAAGTTGACAGAAACCTCAAAGGCATACAGGAGCTCTTAAAGAAAGCTGCCGATTTTGATTTACTCTCTGTAGGCTCTTCAGAAGAATTATATGGGTTTCCCTTACTTACTATGCCTTTGAAAATATCTTCGCCAAGTCTCCTCATTGTTGATGTCATTGTTGCATGCTGTTTCAAACAATGCACGCAGTTAGTGTAAACATTAAAACACATTAAAATCCTGTGTACTATACAGAGATACATATGTTCCCCTAGTGACTAAATATTAAGTAGCAAATGGTTTGACCGTGTATCGGAATATAATCTGTATTGGAAATACTACTTTGTGTTCCAAAAGCAGTTGAACATTATCACAACGCCTTATCAACACATACTTCACAAAGACACTAGTTAGTGAGGTCCCCTGATAGGCTGACATTATTTAAGTTCCCTCTGATTCCATAGCAAGCTCAGCTTCAGTCAGCTGTATTTTGTAAGGTTGCCTGAAGTTATATCCTTTAAAAGCATTTACAGAATCAAGGTCTAAACATGAACCTTAAGAATACTGTACGGGTAAGATCTATTAGACTTTTCATCATAAACTATACAGAATCAAACTTCACAATATGCTCATTTAAAATATAGCTTCTTGTTAGCACTAAAACCAACAGCTTACTATTCTATTGCATTTAAACTCAAGATATTTATAAAATTTCCTACCTTGTGCTTTAGCAAAAGCACTAATGACAGCACTATGCACTATACTGAGTCTTTACAGTATGGCTACTGTCTTTTTATTATACTGCTAAATATTTTCTTATAGCAGTCTAGTCAAAGGGAGTCATGTGGTTAGACACTGAACAGAGAACAGAAAAACCAAAATACCTTTGCTACTTTGCCACACACTTCCATCAATTTCAACAAACCTCATGCATAAAGTGAACCTAAAATATTGCCTTTTCTAGTACAAATGTTTTGTAAACACATATGTAAAAATATAATTTCTGAGATGACATCCTTATGAAAACTATGTTTAGAAACACACAGCAAAATTTAAAATTAACTTGAAAAAGAATTTCTTTTTTTCATTTGCCATGTATCTGTGGTAAACACTATGAATTTATGCTTTGCAAAGACAGCAGAGTTTCTTTTATATATACTACCTGAAAACATCCACTTCTCATATGTATTTAAAACACAAAATCCATTAATATCTTCTGGGAATTTAGTTTTTAAAAAAAAACACACTGCAAGAGGACTACTTGTTTTACCTGAATACCACTGTCTAGCTGTCTTATAGACCAGTAAATACATTTAATCACAGGCATGTGTAGTTTAGGTTTCACAAATGGCATCCACTGGAGTTGCTCAGTAGCCATAGGCAAAAGCTGTAAAAATATACAGAAATAAAATTACGTGCAGTATATGAAACTACTGTATAAGTTAACCATAAGTGAAAAACAAACAAACAAAACTCCCAAGTTTCTCTTGGAGTTTTACAGATTACATACGCAAATACTCACTGGGCAGATCCAGTACAGCTAACAGAACTATACACACACACAGATTTTAAATTTTACAGAGGTTTACATGCAAAAGCGGAGAAAAGAAATGAGTGTGAATTCAATCTCAGTAAATCCATCCCAATAGCTATAAATCTTTAATATAATGAAGAAAAACAATAAAAGATTTTATGAACACGTCACTGACTTCCAAACCTTGGTATCCCCAGAAAGAAAGAAAACAATAAACACCTTAAAAGCATAGCATAGTATCACCTTTTATCAGTCATAAATCGAAACTTTAATATCTAATACAGGCATCAAAATACTTTAAATTAGACATGTTCATCTCCTTAGAAAAAGGAATTACGTACAGTATTATACACAAAACACAAGACAAATTATCAACTGACAGAAGTGACTTGAAATAAAATGCTGAAATTCTCAAGTTGAGACTGAACACCACACTTTTCCTTAAAAATGATCTGTATGCTTTATGAGTGACAAATTATCTATTGTATATCACTGCCGGAATTAATACTGACTTATTAAGAGTGATTCTGTTTTAATTACTGTATCCAAAACATGTATAAAACAGGCTGACCTGTTATATTCTCAAAATCATTTAGTAAAACCCATAAATCTGAAAACATATTAACACAAGCAAACAATCCAAACTCCTTTACCTTCATACACCTTTCCTGGGTGCAGGTTTTTTTGGAGGTCTGCGTAGCCAGAAGTTTATGGCTGTCCTCTCTTTCTTCTTGTATTTTTATTTTGCTAAGGTGCTGGTCTGAGATCCAATCCATAAGAAAAGTTAAGAGCTCATAAACTTGTGAATTCAATGGTAGCTGTAATACATCCACAACATCAGATATTTCAGCTTTCAAGTTAATGATTTTTCTAAGCCAAAATAGTAACAGACTGAAATAAATGAGAGTACATTAGTTCTGAAATATGATGCATAATTTAAAGGATGATGAGTATATGCCTGATAAAATCTGGGAGGTAAGTTACTGTATTGGGAGCCTGTGGAAAACATTATATTCGAGGAAACAGTGATCTTGAACAGGCCATGTCTGCTCTGTTGCGTCTTGTACCCAGAGTTTAAGAAGCCTGTATATAATTAATATAACCTGTAACTTATAATATCTCTGGGAAAGGTAAACTGTATGTGGATCAAGGGGTGGAAGGTGGCAATCCTGACCCGGAGACCGCTGTACATCGAGGAGTCAGAGATCCACATCACAGTCAACCTGAGTAGGCGCAGCCTGTGCTGTGCTGCACAGATCAATCAACTGCACAGTTTATCCAGTGCTTGGGCGCAGGATAAAAGCCAGGTCACTGTAACAGGAGCCTGCAGGCAGCTCCCACTTGGTACCAGTGATCACACCTCCTGCCTGGCTGTGCCTTTGTCTAAAAGGGCAACAAGAAGGTCTCCTGTGAATGTCCTTCATGGACAGAGTTGTTTTCTTGTAAGAAAACTATATAATAGCCTGAATGACCAAAAAGGAGGAGTTTCTCTCCATGAACAGGAACCGCTCAGTGTGCCCTGGGAAAAATCCACCTGGGCTCCATCTGATGTTGCACAAACACAAGGTTCCCAGCATCTGAAGGGATGTAATATTTACTCACTATCTATATTCCTCCTCTTATTCAGTCTTATTAGAACAGCTATTTCATTAAGCCATTTGTTGTCAGGCCTTTCTTACAGAGATCCAGAAAGAAGCCTGCATTGTTTCTCTCTCTCTCTCTCACACTTCACTCCCCTCCCCACTACAGAACAGATACTATTTGTGATGGTTTCTGGGTGTGAAAAAATACGCACATAATTTATTTTGTACTTAAACAAATAATTATAAAAGGCCTGGGAAAAGATTTTCGCATACAGAATCACTTCATTTTATAACTCTGGCCAAACTAATTACAGGAGAAAGCAAATCCTTAATGTCCTTTGCACGTGGAAATTCTCATTTCAATGCAATAGACCTCTACACTAGACCATACAATCCACTGTTGTTAAAATTTAACTGGGTAACTAGCATCGTTAGAAAAAGAGCAAAGACTTCATGAAATTGTCATTCTGTCCCTGTACTACACTGCAGTGAAATACTCTATGAAAGATATCCAGAGGTACCTGAAGACAAGCTGCATGAACAGTTCTCTAAAGACTTCAAAAGTTTTCTTGTATCTACCTTCAGATAACTGTTTTCCTCCTCACTCAGAACTATAACTACTGATACTGTTTATACTTCACTTGCAATCAAAGTACGCTAAAACCTATGTAAACAGAGAAATATGTTGGCTATATATAGACAGCACAGTTTTAAGGCATCTGATGTAATTAATTAAGTAGGATGGTGTGAATATCTCTTTCCCATTTCACAGTTTCGCCTCCAGCTGGAGAAAATCATTACCAGTTGGGAGATGTTGGCAGAGTACTACCAGAGGACTTGCTACTAAGTGGAACAACATGGAGACAGAAAGCATTTCATTAAGTGATGCTAGAAGATATTTTAAGGAAAACAAGGTGATCGTTTTGGAACCGTGTATGAACACTGCATTTATTCTCTTTCCC